GAAGTTCCACAGAGGCACAGGCCGGAAACCAGACTCCTTCAGGCCCCATTGAGGACAAAAGCACTGCCCTCAACTTCCACCCCAAAGTGCTAGGCAGTCAAATTGTCAGAGCTGTTCCTGGACCACCCATGGGCTGGGCCGAAAGAGGGGGTTTCCCTTGGGCAGTAAGGCCCTAAGTGTGTATAGGAATTGTAGGTCTCAGCACTCCCGTTCATATTCTCTCTCTCTCAGTCAATAGTCAATAGCAGGGCGAATGCAGCATGCTCTGGAAGCAAAAGGTCACCTACTGGAAGCATCCCATGAGTTCCCTCACTACAATCCCTAATATGTAAATTGGGTGGATGCTGCCTGCAGTTTTAAATACACATTCATACAGAGAGGGAGGGAGAGGGTTTTATTCAAATACAGTGGTGGCCACCTGCAGAAGGAGGCATTTGAAGAAAAGCACTTACTTTCTAGTTCTGTGAGTTTCCTGCTCATCCCACTTTAATTTCTGCAAGTAGAATAATGAAACCTACACTTACTTGTTTCTCAAATTCTACACTGAACTTTTAGTTTTTCTAAGAGTTTCTCTGCTATCCCTGGGGAAGCAGACTCTGCAAAAGGGAGGAAAGTAGCAGGAAGCAAGCTCCACCATGTCCGCGAGTCCAGGACGGAGCAGTGGGATTAGAAAGTGCAAAGCTGGCTCCAGATCTCCGCCGAAAAGTTTCTAGCATCTGGTATTCTAGTGAAGTTTCTGTCAACATACATACAACTTGCACACAGAGCAGAGTACACTGTCCTCTGCCACTAGCAATCTACCCCACCCCCCCGGCTAAAGTGACCACAGTGAAGTTCCACAATTTCTCCCACTACCTAGAATATACCAAGAGCAGTGTCAGCTGCCAGGACATACAATTTTAACCAGATTACAACACTGCAGTATAGATTTTGATAATCCATTTTTACTAGATCATAGTCAAGTAGAGCACAGCTGCCAAAGCCTTTCCTCTGTTGCCCATCAGGCTTAAAAATTCTGAGAAAATAATAATAATAGTGAACAATTATATACCAGAGATGTTTTATGGGGGTGGAGTGGAGAATGGGATCAAAAGTGGGGAGGGGGGAGTGCATTGGACTATGGTGATTAGGTGATGGGAAGCCCATGGGGATTACAACTGAGATGAGAAAAGGCACAAAATGATGTAAAAATAAACTTACATTTTTTAAAAAATTCTCTCTGGATGCATATGCAGGCATGTATGCATTTATCTTCGCTTATCACTGTGACTACTGGATTACTCTGAGGTCATCCATGGAGGTACAGAGTCCTAACGACCAAGTGTAACACAGGACTCTCCCACATAATGCACACTCACAGGTCTGTGACACAGACACTTCCACCTGTGTGGCCATGAGTCGTGGAGATGCCCATTCTTTGTATTCCCCAGGTAATCGGCAGTGTTCGGTTTACAATGGGCAGCGGTCATTTCATCTCATTGATGTTATGTTGCTAAGACTGCTTATTAGTAAGTAATAAGCTCTTAAGTGCAAAAATGAAATGTCACCAAGTTTTATTAAGAAAAAAAGTATTAGAGGCCCTCCCTGGTGGCACAGCAGGTTAAAGATAACACTGAGAAGCTAAAGTCACTTCCACATGAGTTCCACCCCCGCCTGCCCCGGAGGTGACCCACATGGCATGGCAGACCTCTCCTGACCCGCCCGCTGCTCCCCTCAGCAGTGTACTTCGTCGATCTGCCTGTTCTGCTCCCCACTCTGTCTCTGGTGAATCCTCTCACTGCCCCTGCACCTCTGGCCTGTACCCCAGTTCTGTATGCATACATAGATAAATCTGGGGGGAAAAAAAAGTATTAGAACTGGAAGATGTGAGAACTGGGGAGGGAGAAAGGGAGGGGAATTAACACACATCTTGGCCAGCAGAGTTGCTATCCCACCACTAGATAAAAAAAACAGTAATACATGAATAGCTAATAGAGTGGCCCTACTTGGTGTATACTTTACAATATCCACTGGAAAGAGCAGCCAGGATGACATGCAGGAAGCCCTAGAAGCATGTGCGGCCCCACTTGGGATGAACCTTTGGATCTGCTCTTCAGCGGTGCATACAACCCCACCCATGAACGGCTGTGAAGGCTTCAGGTAGCACATCCACACACACAAGCAAACTGATCAACCTGGTGCCATCTCAATGGCTCCCATGGGTATACCACAGCTCAAAGTGGGGCAGACCGGACCCTGTTCTGCTCCCAGCAGTATCCCTTAGTAGCTATGCGACTTCAGGCAAGCAACATAGCTTTTCTGAGTCCCTTTTCCCTCATCTGCAAGGATGGGATCTCATCTCTCTCACAGGGTTATTTTGTAGAGTATTTGGGATAAAAATGATAGGTAACTGTCCTATGCCTGACATGCAGAAGGGCCTCAGTAACTATTTATTAGCTGCATTTCCATGTGCACAGACCAGCACCGTAAGGCCAGAAATGGGAGGGGGCCCTTCTGAGC